GAATGCTGTTAAAATAATGCTCAAAAGTTCGATTTATCATTTCTGTAGAAAATATCTTCAAAATAGCTGTAAAATGGTGCCTTGGACCACTGAAGAAGGGTGTTCGGATTTTCACTTTTTCAATGTTGGTTAAATCTCCTTTATTTTTGCAGAGGAGATAAAGATTTTTGGATTTCAAGATTCAAAGGTTTCCTCAAATGCAGTGTTTGAATATGGAGAGGGATTTAATTGAAAAAAAAAAAAAAAGTGAAGTGAATATCGCTGTCAACAATCAGCATCAGGAATCTGCAATCTTTGAATATTTCCATAAAAGAAACTCTCATATTCCAATAGTGAGAATGTGTCCTTGCTTCTCAGCTATATTCAGTAATGAGTGGCAAATAAATAAATCCTGAAGCTGTACAGAAAGATAATACTGTGTTCTTTAGCATTACTATATTCCACTGTTCAAGCAGAGACAAATTTTACTAATATTTAGAAAATGTTTCTGTTACCACAGAAATGCTAACTTCAATGCCTAGGAATTTGTCTTTAATGGWGTAATTTGTGGCAGCTCAAAGTGAGTTTTAGCAGAGGCATACAATTTTTCCTTTGTACTTCACAATCAGTTATGGGGATCATACTCCCAATCAATTTCAGAGCAAAGAAACAGTTGGAATCTACCGATACTTCATATTCTATTACTGGCATTAAGAGTGACTCTGAACTTTTCTTGGTAATACTGACAGGAGTTTAGAATGGCTTGACTTTTAAGCTTTCTTTTTAGCTGGTGTATTACAGAAGACAAAAAAACAACCATACAAAATGTTTTGGAATTTGTTGATTCCACAGCAGAAATTTAAATGGTTTTATTTTCTGCAAGCAAGACAGTTTTCAACTTTATGCTAAACCAAGTATTTAATTAGTGATACAACTTTTATTAAGGTCTAATGTACMTCTTTTGTGTGAATGTCTGAATGCTTTCTGAACTAGTGCATGTTGTTATTGACAGTTACTGTCACTGAGATTCTGATCTGTGTCACCAAAAATTGTTATTGTGAATACTCAGATTTTTTTTTTTTATATTGTCAAAATATTGAAGCAAAAATAAGTCAGATAATCTGTATTATYGCCTTAAAATATACACAGTGCAAACTGAATTTAAATGCAAATAGTAAAGAGGTCCTGCAGTTTTTTGGTTATGAGGCAGCAAGTCACAATCTCAAGCACCYAAAGGAGCAAATCACAAGAATACAACTACAGAAGCCTTTTAAAATTTTCATTTATCTGCCAATACTTGTATATTCTTCAACAAATAACAAATGYCATGAACAAAATCCATTTGTCTTWTTTAYGTCTATATCACATTTGGCCACAGTACTGCCCTACAAAGGATTCCCCTGTTTCTTCTTAAACTCAATGGAGGGACTTCCATTGGCTGCTGCATACAAAGATTCCATGAGCCAAACCAGGACCACTTGACATGAAAATTTCTTGAGGTATTTCAGGCAAATCTCATTCTTGACAAGCGTGTCATCTGAATTTTTGATGCTTTTTGAGTTAAAACCAACCACCATCCTCCTCAAAAAATCACCCAACCCCACAGAAGGGGAGTTCCTGTTTGTAATGTAACCCACACAGGAAGCAGGAACCATCTTGAATGAGGCTACACCATGGAGGGAGCTGCCCAGGACTAAAGAGGTGGGAAGCTGGGGTTACCATTTCACAGGGTAATTTTAGACAAAGTCCCAAGAAGTTGCCTGGTGTGCTGGTTTTGTGAGTGGCGGGTTCACAGCTTGGCTGGTGGGCTGCATAGGAAGTCCAGATGAGGGCCATATAAGAAGCTGGAAAATGTTCTTACTATTAAAAATAACACAGAATTAGTGCTTTTTTTTCTTGACTGCTTGCAACTGTGCTTTCAATTTCATAATGAAACCCTTCAAGAAGAGATGTTAATGACAAACTRAATAGCCATTTTGAGGCAAATGCTCAAGGATAATTCTCAACTGAATTTGAAATGGGAAAAACGGTCTGTGTTTAATCTCACATTCAAGAACACATGTGGAGGGAAGTAGGCATGTCTAAAGGCTGATTCATCATACCTCGCATGTGAATCTGCACCAGAAATGCCCATATCTTGGGTGATGTGAAGCATGTAGTGCATGCACTTAAGTGCACTTAAAAGTTGGGAGTTTCTTGCCATCATTCTGCTTTTTTTTTTTTTTTTTCCATTTGTTTCCCAGTTTCTCCTGTCAGATCTTCCAGTTCTTCAGCCTGCTTCGAGGTCCTTTCCTCTTGCCTTCACAGTCCCGGCAGAGGTTCATACCCCACCCTGTGTGTGCCTGAGCCAGCATCAGGCCCAGTGGTGCTGCTCTGCTTCTCCCTCTTACTCTTAGGGCCAGTGGTACAAACACAGCTCCTGCCTGTAACCATAGTGATAGCAGCAGTCCTGAGCAGATCAGTTTAGCTCCAGGGAGGGGGAGAAAAAGACTTTTCAAAGAAGAAGCATCCTCCTGATTTTGTATCAGGTTGATGGAGCCAGGTAGGTTGCATTATGCTTCCCCTACAGCACATGCAGCAGAAGTTGCAAAACAACAGTAGGTACTCAAATCATGCAATACCCAGGAGTTTCTGGGCTTCTGCTGTTAAACATAACCTCACTGCCTGGTCTTGTATGGGTTCTGTCCACAAGTTTTTTCAGCCCCTGTACTCAGCCTCTGTACTCAGCCTCCTTAATGGCAATTGTTCCAGTAGTCCCTTTGGTTGCTGTGACAAAAAGCACCAATGAGAAAGCCAGAAAGTTGTGATTTTTCTAGTCAGAATGATGTTCTGAGATGGATGTAGCCTGGCCATGTTCATGCATTCCAGTTAAAAGATCCATTGCATTTTGGAGCACTACTTGAGCTACTGAATCTAAGAGAATAACAATACACAGTGGTAAGGGTATGGGTTTGGGYGTGTGAATATATACTCAACATCCCRCAGGAAATGCCTTKTTTGTGTCTTTGAAGAACTTTGAAAATTTAGAAGTTTTTAGCAGGCTTTAACCAAAGAAGTACCAGGTGTGTTGCAGGAATCCCAACCTACAAGGGGTATGTAGGGATTCAGTATATGTTAATTATTTTCCTCATGGTCCCTGGAAGTGTGGTACCACTCGAACTTCAGGACTGAGCTTTCAAGAACATACTGCCTGCCCTGTCTGCTGCTGCTCTAGGCTCAGAAATCCTCAGATGTACAATAAAGTGACAGTCAAGTCTCCAAGGAAATTTCTGAAGTTATAATTTCAGTGACAGATTTGTTCAGCAGAAGTTCAATAGATGCCAGATATATGTCAAATAAGAGTAAAATTTTCAACCCAGAGGGTAAAATAAATTTTAAGCAAAAAAAAAAGATAAGCATGTATTTAATAGGGAAGGAAGATTATGAATTGAGATACCTTATGATCAAATATTACTTCTGTTCCTTTGAAACAAAAAAAAAGCTGGTTTAGGCAATTAGATATATGAATGTATGCTAAAACTTAAATAGGCAAGTATGTATATCAAAGTGATTTCCCCCCTGTTTTTAGCAATAATCCTCAATCTTTTAATAGTTTTGATATTTTCAGTGCACATCATAATTTTGCTAAGGGCTGTGAGCCTAAAGCTCAGTCTGCTAATGTAAGATCAAATTCTTCAGCTATTATGCTTTTGAAGTGGTGGTGTGACTGGTACGGCTTAGTGAGTTCTCACTTCCTACACTTCCAGGCTTGAAGTTGCTCTTTAACTGAATCTGTACACCCACAGGAGGACACTTTTGATTGTACTGGCCTCCAGTGACAACCTAAGAACAACTTTTGTGGTGGGATGCAGTCAATCAACTCCTTCTTCTTGACTTTTTGACTCTCACATTTAGTTGGTCTTGCTT